AAAAAAAAAAAAAGACCAAGACGATTGTTTTTACTACAAAATGTGGTATTTTGGAAAATTTCCCAAAATAAATACCAAATTAATCTTTCTTTTTTTTCCTTGTGAATTGCACCAATCATGTCAAACTATATGGGCGCCTCGTCACCTGCTTCGATCTTGGTTTTTCTCGACGTCGGCTATAGCTCCTCTGATTATTGCTTACTGTATACTTCACACCCACCTTGAGCCTAAAGTAGAATTGGCCACACAGATTACATTATGTTTGAGAATTGAGACATGACTGTTCATTGAATTCCTCATTGTGTACTCAACTGGATTTTTCAAATTTTTTTGCCTTGCTAAACAAAATTACCGCTTTTCTTGTATCTTTTCTTGGTTAAAGTTTGAGGCTTTCTTCTGATTTTGCAGGCAGGGCCATTCGGCATATAAATGATTATGCAGCAATACTATTGGTCGATGCACGTTTTTCCTCTGATCATACAAAAAAAAGCTTTTCGCCCTCGACTGATAAGCTGCCACAGTGGATCAAAAGTCATCTGGTTGCCACAACTCCAAATTATGGAGAAGTTCACAGGTTATTGCACCAGTTCTTTAAGTTCCACAAGAGGAAGGAGATAAAGAATTAAGAGTCCTAACAGCAGCAACTGGTATATTTCAGCAGAAAAAAAACAATTTTTTGTAGGACTTAATTCTTGGAGGAGTTGACAATTTTCCCATCAAATTAATTCCCGTTCATAGAATGTGCGGCACAAATGTAAATGTTGGTCAATTTTCTCTCCCGGGCTTTTCAAACCAATCCCTTGACGATGCACAATTTAGAGTTTAGTCCACTGACTCCACAAATTGGAATTTACTTGATCATGTTATAATATCACTTGTGAATGTCCCACATCGTTCATACATGGAAAATAGACTCATCTTATAAGTCTAATGGGCTACTCCTTTTTTCATCAATTGGTTTTGGGATGGAATCCCACTTGACTTTATATGGGTTTTTCTCTCTCATGGTCCGCTTATGTTAGTGGGTCTGCACCTGTTTTTCCTCCGTTTCTTACCGATCATTTGGAGATGCATTGAACAATTGAGTATATCGAGCTAAATGAAGCATGCAATAGATAGTGCAAATTGTAATTTTGAAACAATTATTTGGCACAATGGTTAGGCGCAAATATATATTTATTTAACAAATATGTACATTTTAGAAAACAAATTAAATAAAAATATAACATTTTACAATATTTTTTTTATTTAAAAACGTATGACAAATTAATGGGTTAGACTGCTTCATTCTAGAATTTGTGTAAGCTGAGTAATTCTTAATTGAAATTCCATAATGCAAAAGCAAAAACTGCATGAAAGTGACTAGCCTTGTGCTGATATATTAAAATTGCCCACATCTCTTTTGGTACTATCAACCAAACAAAGGGCAACAAACTCTAATGAGGGTAGGGGCCAACACCTCTCACCCTATAAATGCTACAATAAAAAATAAAAATAAAAATAAATAAATAAAAAAATCCTTCCCCTATTATAAGGAGAATTTATACAAGCTCTTATATTAATGCTTATTCCCATAATTATGTCACATGTACTTAATTGTTCTTGTAAAGATAGACTAGAGTTCTTCCATTAATCCAATTAATTTTATTACTAGTACAACGCCCGTGTATTACACGGGTGCTTGCTAACTTTTTCTTTAAAATCTAAAATTAATGAGAAAAAATAGTTGAAAATTTAAAACCTTTTCTAAAAATATATATATTATTATATATTAAGGACGAAACTTTTTGTTTGTGCGACTTACCTGTGTTATATTATAATAATTTTTATAACTTACAACATATAACTACATTAAACATAAATATATCAAGTGAGAAATAATTTTATTTTTCTAATGAATTTTAATGAATATTACTATTTTTTTATTATAAAGATAATATGATTTATTTATTTTATATATACAATATGGATGTCAAATCGAACATCAGCAAAAGATGATTAATTTGATATATTATATATGTAAAACCGATAAGAAATACAAAAGTTATCAACTTTTAAAATATATTTACAATTCAATAGTTAATTGAAGGAAACAAATCAAAAGGCAAAGATATATTAGTTACTTAGTACCTCACTATGTAAAATTACAAAGAATTAAAGGGTTATATTAGTGCAAGTGATATTAAAATACCTAAATTTGCTAAATAATATTTTGGAATATCCTAATCTAGATTATTAATTATTAATATATAAATATTATTTGTCCAAACCTAATTACGAAGCATGATTCTTTGTCAAGTAGGATTCCGAAGCACCAGAAGCAGCCACGTAGGCTCAGCGCATTCGGGAATTATATATAAGAGGGATAGGCAAGAAGTTTAACTACTTCAAATACAGCTCCCTAGAGCTGACCAGTCAACGGGTCGTGACCTGGGCCGGCCCGGCGGGCCTCCCATGGGTGACCTTTAACCGGCCCGCCAAAACCAAAGGGCCTGCCCGTGGAACCGGCCCAGTCCCGGACCCGTCCCGGCCAGTAGTCATGTCTAATTTCTAAAGCTCCCAATTTCTTAGTAAAAGTCCAAGTGAGAAGAAGGCTGGGATTTTTAGAGCAGTATATTCACTGCTTTCATATCCCTGATATTTTTAAAGCAGTATATTCAATGCCCTCTAAATCCAGGATTAACTTAACAAAAGGAGAATAAGAAAAGGAATGGGGACAACACTGCATATAACTGAACAAGTGGTGGTACAAAACCTAAGAAAGAAGCTTGTCCCT